GTCTATAGTCTATGGCCACTGGTTGTTCACTATTATTCACTATTCGTATTAGCCTATCTATTTTTTCTTCTTCTTCTTCTTCTTCTTCTTCTTCTTCTTTTGTCCTCCTCCAACTCAGCATCCTTATCACTCGCTCTGTTGATCTTACGATTTCCTTCGTCACAGAAAAAATCAAATAAAAAGCAACCTCCTCTTCCTGTACGCAGTCTCCTGCTGTTGTTCTCGTTCGTTCTTTCGTCACCTTCCTGGTGAAAGAAGAAAAGCAAAAAAGGAGAGGAAAAGAGCGAAGGACGGGCAGTTTCCTGCTGTTGTTCTCGTTCGTTCTTTCGTCTCACCTTCCTCCTGAAAGAAGAAAAACGAAAAAGGAGGACAAGAGTCGAGGAAAGGCAGGAAGGATAGTAACGAAAGAGATAAGGAACCATGAAGGATAGTAACGAAAGAGATAAGCAACCATGAAGGATAGTAACGAAAGAGTAAGGAACCACGACGAGAAATGAAGAGAAACCAGGGGGTGAACAGAGAGAAATACAGAAGAGAGAAGGTAGGGGGAAATAGAAACAGGTGGAGAAAAGAAAGGAGGACAGAAGAGAGAAGAGGGGGAAAAGAAGTTTGAGGCAACGAGGGCACCTTCCTGGACGAGGTGAGGTGACAAACGGAGGAGGGAACAAAAAAAAAGGAGGAAGAAACAAAGAGCAAATAAAATTTGAGAATACGTAGTTACCGACCGGCTCAAAGCGGGAGGGGGAAAAAAAAGAAAACTGAGCAAAGAGCAAGGAAACGTCGTTATCCCATCGGGGTAACCAATGGAGGAGGGTAAAAGGTCGAGGAACACTACGGTAGTTTCCGAACTGGGTAACAAACGGAGGAGGGGGGGGGGGGGGGGGGAGACGTCGTTACCCCACCGATGTAACAAATGGAAGGGGGAGAGAACGGTCGAGGAACAACAGTTTCCTAACTGGGTAACCAACGGAGGGAGGGGGGGAGGGTTACCCAGAGAAACATGGTTACCGGACCTAGGACGCAGGTGACAAACCGAGGTGGGGGTGTTTCCGCACGGGGGTAACAAACAGAGGTGGGGGTGCAGGGGGGGCGAAGTTGAGAATACATAGTTACCGGACAGGGTAGCAAATGGAGCAGGGGGTGGGTGGGGTGCCCAGGGGCTGCAGTGGAGAAACATGGTTAAACAGAGGTGGGGGTGCAGGGGGGGCGAAGTTGAGAATACATAGTTACCGAACAGGGTAGCAAATGGAGCAGGGGGTGGGTGGGGTGCCCAGGGGCTGCTGTGGAGAAACATGGTTACCGGACACAGGACAAAGTCGAGAAACATGGTTAGTGGGGCGGAGGACGCAGTTGACAAACATGGTTACCGGGACGGAGGATGCAGTGGAAAACATGGCTACGGGGATGGAGGACGCAGTTGAGAAACATGGTTAACGGGATGGAGGACGCAGAGAAACATGGTTACTAGACAGGGGGGGGGGG